GAATGATGTCTAAACCTAAACCCCACTCGTTCTTATAAAGAGGATAGGTGCGTGAGTCATGGACTGACCCCCGGGAATCTGGCCAGACACTTCCTTTATCTGACTGGTCAGCTGCTCAGAAGCTACCCCGGATTTAAATACAATGTACTAATATGGGCACGAAGGAGGGCGAGTGTTCACGTTTCTAAAGCATGGGATTACCATATTCGGATTACCAGACTATGGTGTCATTGGACGATCTTAATATACAAGGAACATCTCATTAGACCGGTTCCCGTTGTGACTGGTACTAGCTAACGACTTCAAAACATCAAGCAGAGCACGTTTCATAGAACTAAAATATCCCCTATAGTATTACACCTTTATCTCCATTTCTGGTTAGGTTTTGATGGATTTGATGGTTTTTATGCAGACACTATTGTAAGGAGAAAATAAAAGATACCAATTTTAAAGGCCATTTTAAATCATCATTTGAATTTTTTAATATAATATATGGATTTACAACACCCACCGTTATGAATACCATGACATATTCCAAAACACCTACCTTTACGGTGTGTTTCTTTTTGTAGTAAACCGAACCGGCTAAGGTTACTCCATTTTCATAATCATTGGCTAAAAGTCCGAAATTTAAAAAGCAAGTTCTGTCCTTTTTTTATAAAGGAAACTGATAAACAGTTGATATCTAAGGAACACCTGGCCGTGCAATGTATCACACTTCTTGCTTCAATAGTTAAATAACTTTCAAGGCTAGTGAGAACCTTATCGCCACAGAAATCTGGACGGATGAAATCTTCATTGAAAGGGTCACAAATTATATTCTGAAAGCAGCAGTACAGGAATGGTAGGGTTTTTAGTAGAGTAACTTTTAACATAGTTGTCTGTTCCATATTTTACCCATAGGATATAAGACAATCGTCGTTCCAGCTAGAATGATATTTTTAATAATACGATCAAGAAATACATCGATTAGAATTTAATACTGCACCTAATATAACATCGATTCACTTGGAAAACGATCAAAAATCAATTTTCGAAACATTTTACCGAAGGGATATTTTCTTGTTACAATCTATACAATTCAATAGATAACACATTTTATTATTTACACGAAAGTCTTTGAAATATTTGGGCAGTGGTGTTTATTAGCAATTTTCTGATATCGACCCATGTCATGTATTGACCGAAACGTCAGATACATTTAATATGTGGGACAAAGTGCTCTATATCTTTCATCGAACTGAACGATCGTTTAGGTGCATAGAAATTGACCCCAGCCGATTTCTGATATACTTCTGTTAAGGCACGAAATGGCTATGTTATAATTAAACATGTAATTAATCCAATTATGTCATTTACAAGCTATATATTTGTGTACAAGCTTCTCATGACTTGAAAGAACATACTTATCGGTCAGTTAATCATAGCATGGCGTGATAATAGACAATTCCATATGATCATGACTCCTATCCATTTTCTCTAATTGTTTGACTATATAACCAATAGTTTACTCACAGTTAGAGAGAGAAAAGGGACAGGAGCAGAGTAGAGACCGGCGTATGTACTCTTAACCGTGTTCAGCCCCTGCACTGGCAGGAGGACGGAATGGTTGTCTTAATGTACCATGCTAAGGTTATCGTTTATATTTCTGTTTTAATTTAGTTCCTGTTTAATTTATGCAACTGTTTAATATTCTGTTCCGATGTAAATAAACCCTGATACACGAAACTGATATCTGTTATCACTAAACTAGTGTTACATTTATCGACTTCATCTCTTTGTGTTATTATACTCTTACCTTGAGGTCAGAGGTCAGAGGTCAAAATTGGCGCCCGTAAAGTGTCAAGCCGTTCTAATGGGACGTTATTTCATTATATCACGCAACATTTAGAAATTAGTTGCAGATGAAAGAAACCTGTACTGTGAACTAAATTAAATATGGGTTAATGTCCTTCTGGGTTAGTGAAGATGGGCATACAGTGTATTTCGAATTCCAACTGGTTTTTTGTACATGCATGCCAATGTGTACACGGGACTTCGTTTTTTTGTCCAATCCGAACAGCTATACGCTGTCTCTTACCAGATCCTCCTTCCTGCACCATTGACAACGTCTTACACACTGAGCAGTTATGAAGAATCTTGTACACATTAAGATGCCAACTCGTCTGTCAGCAAATTGATGACAACTTAGTACCGGTACTGATAAAAGTCCACTTAGAGATGCATTATGTAATATTTAGATAAAGGGCTGGCTATTCTTGGAACATTAATTTTAAAAAATAGATAATAAAAAATGAATATTTTGAAAATTTGTATTCAAATTACTTTATTCTGAGCGCAGTTGTGAGTGTTGAAAGATGTAACGCAAATAGTTTATTATCGAAGCAACGACTGAACATTTTATCGTTAATTTTGTAAATCTTACGGGCGTCCTAATCCATTTAAATCTCTGCCATCTGATGGTCTAGGGAGGTGATCTTTGCCTAAATAATAGTTTATATCAGATTTAGCTCTTACATCATGCATCTTTAATACATGCGCTAACATCTCTATTTATAGTCTGATACCAGGGTATTGGTTATATTTATAGTCTGATACCAGGGTATTGGTTATATTTATAGTCTGATACCAGGGTATTGGTTATATTTATAGTCTGATACCAGGATATTGGTTATATTTATAGTCTGATACCAGGGTATTGATTATATTTATAGTCTGATACCAGGGTATTGGTTACATATGGCTGTATAATCGCCAGTATTTTGTCATAGCTTAGAACTTATAGCATTTCTGATCAATGCTGAAAGTGGTAGTTATTTTCTAATAGTTTATACTGATTTCATAAGGACTGGAATGTGATGTTGTAACATCGTTAAATAAGTTTCGCTTTAGACAAAGTTCATTAATTAAACTCACTCGTTGTACCTTTATTGGCAACTCATGGTCATGGGCTGGTTGGATCCCGATATGATTCTGAGAGAGAGAAATGCGGGTTAAAGTTTATACTCTACACAAACTAGGTCATTTCGGGACTAACATATGGTTCAATTTTATTCGCTTGATCGCACAGGTCTTTGGCACTGGGAGGAAATTTGAAGACCCGGAAAATACCCAAGATGTTGAACAGGTGACCTTAATTCTGATCACGTGCATGCGGGGAATCAAAGCCACGTTACCTGACTCAATGAGCACGCGTTAAATTATTTGGCCATGCAGATAATATAGAATATAAAGTTTAGTGGTGTTTGCCTAAACTATATATATAATATGGCTTAGGGAACTTTTATTTACGTCTATAGAACATTGGGGATGCTTCCTCCATTTAGGAATGTATGTGAAGGACACCTTTCGGTTTTGCCTTTGAAGAGGAAGCCCATGTTAAAGAAAATGTTAAAAGCCGTATATATTGAACCTTCCACTTCGGAATGGGTGTCGACCCAGGTATTAATACGCAAACCTGGCGGAAATTTAACATGGTGTATTGGCTATCGAACTCTCAATACAGTTAGCAATAAGCACGTATATCCAATATCTATTATGGGGAAATGTTCAGTTAGCCTAGCGGGAAATAAATGATTTTCTAATATTAAATGTCAACTCCGCACATTTTGAAGATTAAAGTCACTTGTCAAATGTTTAAGTGATCTTTCATATAAAGGGATTAAAAACACCCAAAGGATACCATCATTGTTAGGTTCCCCTCTGAAATCGGATGGTCCTAAATGGTTATGGGTGGGTGAACCAGTGAAAGAATTCCCCAGAGGGACTATCGATTTATTCCCAACCTTATAGGCCTGTCTAATTATCTCATTAGATTTCAATACAATTTAAATATTAGACGAATTAATCAAACATACCGTGGGGAAATCAGTATTTCAATGTCAAGTGCGACCAAAAACTAAATGTTCACTTAATATAATCCCATTATATAACATAATGACCTATCCAATGCACGAGTTAGACGAGTAGTCCTGAGAAAACCCACGAGGTTGGACAGGTGACCCTACAAGAGGTAAATCAAAACCACGCCACCTGACGTAATTACAGACCTTATGGTTTTACGCACACGCATTAAACCACTGAACAACCAAACCAGTATATGGGATACTTTAGTGTCATTTAGCTTTTTTCTAGTTGCTATTGAGATATTCTCATCACCTAACCCTTATCCGCCCCCCACCTCCAACTAATATAAAACATTCGTGTAATCAGTCAATAATCACTCTCCATTATCTTAGATAATTTAAACCAGGTAAAGCTACATCAGCGATGGGGGATTTCACATCGGTAAACGTAAAATACCATATTTTGCAGAGTAACGTGGTCAATTAAGAAAAGCAAGAAATGTCATATTTTCGGCCCCATCTCTTTAATGTCCCACCTGTCCACATGTTGCGAAACATGTTGCACTTATTGCATGAGGTGAAGGGTACAAATGTCGAAATACGACAACAAATGGAGAAATAAGATTTAAGGACTGAAATAAGAACTAAGAATACTGCATAAAGAGCTGTTTGGTCTTCCATACGGGGGAGGGGGAACGTTCTTAAAGTTCAAATTAAACTGGCAATCATGTCCTTAATTTGATACATTTTCGTCTTCAATTGACCTTCGATGATCCTACCTCTTTATCTCCCCCTGTATAAATAATATCACCCAAATTTCTATCAAATTTAGCATTTAACGGAATCACAGTATTGACACGAGTAAACCACTCTAACCTTTCTACAACTTCCAAAATATCAATGGAGCAGACCATTGTTAGCAATAGGGGGACTGGGACACGTTTACAATATATTTATATCAAAATAAACACAATAGTTCTATGGATAACAATTACTGTATTTCTATTAATGTTGGGGTTCAACAAGGATTCTCTTGTCGTTATTATAATTGTGGTCAATTACTAAATGCCATTCAACCAGTATATTAATGTCAGTTGAACTCTGTGTAATGAAGCTGTTATGTTTGTATCTGTCTAGAATAAACCTTCTAGGGATCTTTAACATGGTAAGTTGTTCCCATGGTGGCTGTCATCACTGTAACATGGTAAATTTGTTCGCATTGTGGCTGTCATCACGGTAACATGGTAAGTTGTTCCCATGGTGGCTGTCATCACTGTAACATGGTAAGTTTATTCCCATGGTGGATGTCATCACTGTAAAGATATAATTATTATTATTGTGGTGGTCCTTATAGTTATTAGAAAGATTTATTTCGGTGACTAGTGCCTCTATAAGTAGGGATCAACGCCCCCGATATAGGTGAGTATGACAGTGTTCTGCATAACTGCGACCGATTTTTAATCTCACTCCTGCTGTTATTGGGTCATGTTATTGTCGAGTTGGTCCAGAGTTTTCCATTAGGAACCATGCGATTCTCCCTGACAGTGTGCCAGAGTGTCTGAAAATTTGTTTCATGGCCGATGGCATGCGGTAAGTAGGCTCTTTTTTTATTAATGAAGTTTTTTTTTATTGAAATGTTTATATACGCGCATGTACCCTCAATGTTTTACCTACAATCATGATATCCCAGTGGAAAGTGGCAATTCAGGGCGTAACTCCATCACAATGTGGGTACACACCAATTTAACTGACGTTGACAAATAATTAAAATAAAATCAAATGGGGTTTAACGTCCTACTGTTCTGGTCTGAGCTGGACTAATGAAGACGGGCATACGCCATACAGTGTGCTATATCGAATTCCAACTGTCAAGGGATCTTTTACGTGCACGCCAATAGGTACACGGGACCTCGGGTTTTCGTGTTGATATTTTTGGATATCAAAAATACGAATAGGAGATTTTATTTGTCACCCAATCCCTTCTGACATGCACAAATAAAATATAATTCTTTGCTATAGATTTCACTTTAACTGAACCTGATTTTTTTTACGGCGTAGTGATAGATCAATTTTTGACAGCAATTCAATAATTGCAAAGTCCTTTATACTGACCTTGTGTTTCCATCAAGGTCAATTAAATAGAAATAGTTCATTTGTATTAACAAAAAGTTACTTTTAATAAAAACTGAACTGTTCTTTGAAAATATAAAAAAGTAGTTCCTTTTAACTGACCAATCAAATTCATGTAGATTATGAAATTTATCACACAAGCGATATCTACTGTAGAATGTATTATTGGGTGAAATGAAGTATTACAGTGGTGTTATTATACCTTGTATTATACAGTTTCAGGTTACTAGTATTATAGTGGTGTTATTTTACCTTGTATTATACAGTTTCAGGTTACTAGTATTATAGTGGTGTTATTTTTCATACCTGGTTGGATATCAGTTTTATATGGTGTTGAAGTTGATGTAGCGGGTAAGTTAAAACTATTATTAGCCGTGGAGGATTATATATTATGTGCAATTTGTTTTCTTATGTCTTATGTATTAATTATAGTTTATTACCATGTAATAAAGAGTGTGTACAGCCAGTCCAATGTAATAACTATGGCTTATATTGCAGTACCATGTAATAAAGCGTATACACAGGGAGTTCAATGTAATATATTTTAGTATCATGTAATAAAACGTGTTTACACGTAGTTAAATGTATTGACTATTGTTTATATTTTAGTACCATGTAATAAAACCTGTTTACACGGCGGTCATTGTGTTATAACTCCAGATTCATCTTGTTTAGGTTCAGGTTTTAAACAAATATGTAACTGTCCACCATCTTACACGGGTGAATTCTGTGAGAATTTCCTAATCAAAGGTGAGTTGAGATACCATTTCAGCGGTTGTCTTAAAGAGTCTACGGGTCACTCGACTGGCGATTCTCGTTCTTCTTGGTGGATACAATTCACAGCCAATATTGAATATAGACTGGGGTGGAGGTAACGGGTCCAACACAGATCACGAGAGCTGTTGACGAAGCATATACGAAACAAGGACTTGGGTCGACTGTGTTTTGTTTTCTCCAGGATCCCCGGTTACCTGCTAAAGATTCAGACGTGAAACGAAGTAATATAGTAATAAATGAGCGATTTTTGTATTTAATTCCTTCAGGATTCCATGTTACCTGCCAATGATAAAGATCCAAGTGTGAAACGAAGTAATATAGTAATAGATGATCTTGTTATTAATTATAGTGGAATGTGATAAAATCTGTGAGAATGGCGGTAGATGTGTGGTTAATTTTACAAATGAAGGATGTAAATCTTTCTTGACGACTTGTGTTTGTCCCCTGAACTACTATGGAGATTTGTGCGAAACTTTTCGCGCTGATCGTAAGTATAAGATGACAGTCTTACAAATTCACTAGTTAAAATTCAACACCTGTCAAACGTAGGCCTATACATATGTCCCCATCGAGATATCCACTAATCTGCCAAATACAGAACTATACATGATACACCGTCGTGATGGCACCAAGCCCTGTATCCACTAGTGTTAGTAATGGTGTTATTCTTGGTATCAGACAAATGTAGGCCTATAAATGAAGACGAGGAACTAATTACAATTTCCCTGAACACCTACAAAAATGCTGCATGGGAATGCGCTAATGTTTTATACAAGTTTACGGTGGGTTTTTTTCGATTTTTATCCTACAGCTATATGTGATCCTCCATGTACAGCGGGTCAAGGTGAATGTGTTGTCCTACGAAATTCACAGTTAGCACCTCACTTGACTGATGGAACCTACTGTAACTGTTCAATGTCGGCTACCAGATATCACTATGGAAACCAATGTCAGCATCTTCAACAAAAAGGTAAGGCTTTCTGGTTGAACGCGCCAACCTTGCAAGTGCTTTGGCTTACTGAATGGTTTTGTCTAATGGCTATGATCAAATTCTTCCGATTTCCTTTAAAAACACAATTATAGTTTTTATTCGTCTATTACGATTGGTAATTACGGAACTCGCCAACATAGTCTGTAGTTATACATGTACTAATATTATAATGATACTTACCCTGGGTACAAGATCAAAGGTTTGCTTCATTGTTCAGTCAAATCTTGCCAATTACACACGATTGAATTGAATTATTTGGAAGATTTAAAGGGTGTTATGATTCTCGGTTTTTATTGATCTCACATTCAAGTAGTTCTTGTGTGTCTGAAGAATAACTGCCATCATTATAATAGGAGAAGAGAGAGTGAGATAGAAATGGCATTTAACATCCATTTAACACAAACGGAGTCATTTCGGGACTAACATATTGTTCATTTAGTTTCAATTATTCGCCAACTAGAGTGTGGGCTTTTTAGAAGTGGGAGGAAACCGTAGGACCCAGAGAAAACCCACGCACGATACTTGACTCAATGACAGACCTTATGTTCAAACGCACACGCGTTAAACCACAAGACCCCTCATTACCACTTTATAATAAAGGGGTATTAGGTTAAAATTATTATCGTGGAGGAAACCTATAACCCATGATCTACCTTGTCTTATATGTTTTTTACCACAGGGACTTGTAATCCACCATGTCGTAATGGAGGGGAATGTAATTACAAGGGTAGGTGTATTTGTCCACAACGACCAAATTCAGACTCTCCTTACGAAAGCTTCGAGGGTTGCAGGGAATTTGATCCAGGTCTGTATACTATATTGACATGTTCACAATATGTGCTGGTCTCCAATAGTCACCAGGGAAACATAGTTATTGTACATTATTAGTAATTGCAGGAGGACAGCACCACACATAACTAATTACCGTCGCATCTTTTGAATTAACCTCTGCGAGCTACGTGACACCTGAAATGGAAAATGGTATACGATGTTCTGACAGCATGATTGTCAACCTTTACCTGTAAATTTACATTAATAGTTTGTTTTACAGTATGTGAAATGAAATGAAATGAAATGGGGTTTAACGTCCTACTGTTTTTTATAGTATGTAATCCTGGTTGTCAGAATGGTGGAACATGTTTTAGAGGTATCTGTGAATGCGTAATTACAGAACAAGGGTACTATAACGGCCCGGTATGTGAACAATTTATAGAAAAGAGTAAGTATAAGATTTTACATCAAAAGTCGAAATTTTAGATTTTATTTTTCAAACTTGTTAGAATTCGGGAGAATCTGAAAAAATATTTCTATCATGATGGATGTGAAGAATTGTTGTCATAAGGGGAAGAATCCTATTTTTCACTCCTCCAAAATATACCACTGACCATCATAGTAATTCGTTCTGAACATCCTAGTAATCCGTTATGGTAAGTCATATACCACTGACTATCCTAGTAATCTGTTATGGTAAATAATATACCATTGACTACCCTAGTAGTAATCCGTTATGGTAAATAATATACCACTGACTATCCTAGTAATCCGTTATGGTAAATAATATACCATTGACTACCCTAGTAGTAATCCGTTATGGTAAAAAATATACCATTGACTACCCTGGTAATCTGTTATGGTAAATAATATACCATTGACTACCCTAGTAGTAATCTGTTATGGTAAATAATATACCATTGACTACCCTGGTAATCTGTTATGGTAAATAATATACCATTGACTACCCTAGTAGTAATCCGTTATGGTAAATAATATACCACTGACTATCCTAGTAATCCGTTATGGTAAATAATATACCATTGACTACCCTAGTAGTAATCCGTTATGGTAAATAATATACCATTGACTACCCTGGTAATCTGTTATGGTAAATAATATACCATTGACTACCCTAGTAGTAATCCGTTATGGTAAATAATATACCATTGACTACCCTGGTAATCTGTTATGGTAAATAATATACCATTGACTACCCTAGTAGTAATCCGTTATGGTAAAAAAATATACCATTGACTACCCTGGTAATCTGTTATGGTAAATAATATATCATTGACTATCCTAGTTATCTGTTATGGCAATTAATATATCACTGACTATCCTAGTAACCTATTATGGTAAACAATATACCACTGACTATCCAAGTGATCAGGTTTGGTAGGGGCAGCCCTATTGTAGCCTTCAACCCTGAGCAGACAGACAAACGACAGTCACAAAGACTAGAATAGATAATAAATTAGTTTGGTACTTAAATAAATCTTTCACCCTTCACCTCTGCACTTGTTCCGATGTTTTGCCGATCTTATCGAGAATGCTTGTTAGCTATAATATAAGTGTTATAAGATGTTCCGAACCGTTAAGGTGTAAATTTGCAAGACAGACACTGGTATTTTAATCTGTATATATATATACCGTGATATTATTTGTACAGTATGTAATCCTGCCTGTCAGAATGGTGGAACATGTAGAAGAGGTTTCTGTCGCTGTAAACAAAACAATTTATGGGAATATTACGGATCTGCATGTGAACAGTTTCAAGACTACAGTGAGTAGGATATTACTTGTATAAAAATCTGATTAATATAATCACATAATCATCGACAGATAGTCAACATTGCTGCATATTCCTGAAGCAATGGTCCTAGATATCCTACTCTAGCTATTGCAAAACGTTGAGTTTTTGACTGCGTTTGACAGTGTGGCTATTTTATCGTCTACTACACGAGCCTTTAATTTTATGATTTTCCCGCAGACATGTTTTGTTGTGTTATTTAGAAGATTATCGGCAAGTCTATTTGAGTAATTACTGTCCAATTTCAAAGACCTGAGAGCTCTGGTGCGTCACCGTATGTCGGAAAGCTATCAAGAGCGGGGGGGGGGGGTATTTTCTTGACGTATATTATGCCAAAATATGGATGCGGTTCTGTACTGTCTTATGTGATTGTTCCAACAATATGTCATGAGTAGGCCTACAATTGTTGGAAGTCGTAGTTCGATTTCGTGTTTTCAAACAAAATACATAAGGTGTCAGCCCGTCTCTTTGATCTGGGATTTTCCCTAAAGGATTGTAAAATGCTGCTAAAACCCTGACATAATGATTCCCAGCGTTTACGTTTGCAAGTATTTTGGAAAGCCTCGTTTATCACACAATTATTTCGTCTGCCCTATTTGGATACTCTGGTGATAATCGCATTTTTTGACGTAATGTAGTCGTGATTGTGATTATACAGCTTTACGTTCACGTATTTAAAGCTCCGGTTAATCCCGATTGATTTGTTTCGCTGCAATCGATTGGTTGTTAACCTGCACGTTAACCAGTCATGATTTGTTACGTTGCAATCGATTGGTTGTTAACCTGCACGTTAACCAGTCATGATTTGTTACGTTGCAATCGATTGGTTGTTAACCTACACGTTAACCAGTCATGATTTGAAGAGAGAGAGAGAGAGAAATGGGGTTTAACGTCCACTCGACACAAACTAGGTCATTTCGGGACTAACATATGGTTTAATTTTATTTCAATAATTCGCTTGCGCGTAGGGGTCTTTAGCAGTGGGAGGAAACCGGAGGTCATTTCGGGACTAACATATGGTTTAATTTTATTTCAATAATTCGCTTGCGCGTAGGGGTCTTTAGCAGTGGGAGGAAACCGGAGGTCCCGGAGAAAACCCACGAGGTTGGACAGGCGACCCTACTCCTTGTCACGTACAACCAGGGATTCGAAACCACGCCAGTCGACTCAATGACAGACTTTATGATACAGCGCGTGCACGCTAACCATTCAGCCATCCAACCCCCCGTCATGATTTGGAAGATAAATCAATCTAACAGTGTTTGAGTGGGATTATATCTAATCAAATGAAACAATGCTAGGAGTTAGGAATTGCTGGGATTTGGGAGATATTATTTTCGGACCTTCAAAACATTAAACCATGACAACCTTTACAGAAAGTCCAGACATCGAAACATCTGTTTGGTGCGTCTTCTGCTGTTGACTGTAAGTAGCAAATGAAATCAAATGAAATATTTTTTAATGGCGCCAGACATATGGAGAAATTTTCAAGACGGACTAAATAGAATCACTATATATTAAGTTTATTTCAAAATTTAAAGTTACAATTTCATATTTTCTAAGAAAGTCAAAACATATTATATGTCTTTTGCTCAATAGGTTGTCAACTCACTATTATACGATCATAGGTTATCTTGCTCACATTTAAAAATCTTCACACCGGAAATAATAACACAATTACCTCCCTTGTTTTCCTATTCCCCACCATGGAATAGCTATCTTCAAACGTTTCAATTTGAAGTTGAAAATGATAGTTTTGCGAATTTCTCAACTGGCAATAGTGAATTATAGGATTAATAGGATTATTCTTTAACATGCTAGGACTGTTTATAGATACCATCTATTTTAGGGCTTTATTTTAATACATTTTAAAAATATAACTTAAAAATATGAAATTGTAAATTTAAAATAAAAAATTACATTTCTGAAAATCAATGAAATCATATAACATATCACAGTAAATGAATTCAAATTACATCAAAAAAACTAATTTAAAATATAATTATTTACAATAAAAATTGATAGTAAAAATCTCTTTTAAAATTTATAGTAAAAGTTTCTTTTAAAATTTATAGTAAAAGTTTCTTTTAAAATATAAAGTAAAAGTCTCTTTTAAAATTTATAGTAAAAATCTCTTTTAAAATTTATAGTAAAAATCTCTTTTAAAATTTATAGTAAAAGTCTCTTTTAAAATTTATTGTAAAAGTCTCTTTTAGAAAGTCTAGCAGTTTGTCATATAAACCCGGTTGTGCAAAGATTGGCAACGGTAATGTATTTCGATTATCCTTAAAATACTCGTACTCGGATTAAAATGTGCTTAACAGCCCCATTCCTTCTGTTCCACCTACAGGAGTTTGACCGGCGCTCGTGTATAAAATGATAGATTGGGGGTTAAAAATCAGAAAATGGTAATAGAAAGTTTGATATCGGAAGATCTAAAGGTATGCTAAGTCTGTCTGGTCTTTCCCTTTAATATCAACATGACTGGGGTGCCAGCAAAAGACAATGTTCTTGCCGTAAACTGGTGTGATAGTAGAAGACAATAAACATCTGCTGTTTTTTGTTTATTGCTCGAAGTGGGGGACAAAGGATCGGTAAATATGGCCTGTTTTAAAGATGGAGAGGACTGAATGAACCCCAATGCCTGCAAAATGATCTGGAGCTCAACATTAAATATGGAAGAAGCAGGTGGAAGTCTGACAGAGGTGATTCCAGAAGACGTGACAGTGGCTGAAGCTACTCGATCCCCATCTTTGTAACCAGATGTGTAAATGGGAACCTAATCACCATGATTAGACCTTAAATCGCGAAAAGAGACTGAAAAATCGTGGAACTATTATCGTTTTTTGGTAGATCTAAGTCGATCTTGGGGGTACATATAGCCGATGGCGGTGTCGCAAAGAAAGGGGTATTCGCAATACTTTCATGACTGATGCCAGCCTCAGACAAAAGGGGATGAACGCGAATACCGAATGATGGAACAACGTTAGTTTCAGCAAATATGAGGATGGTGTGCCTCGACGTATCAACCGTGCACTGGGTATGTACGGAATGCTCATAAACTGATTCCAAGTCCTTGGTTGTGTATGGTGTTCAATTCTTTGTGATAAGTTTCGCGGGCCAACCAATACACAATACACCCATAATCAAGTTTTAATCTTATTAATGCTCGATATGATCCGAGCAAGACCTTACGGTCTGCTCCACCGTCAGTATTTGACAAGACTCTCAATATGTTGATGACTTTCAGACATTTCTGCTTGAGGGTTTTTATATGGGGGGATAATTTATTATTAAATATCAAACCAAGAATTACGTTTCATCTACAACTTGAATGGGATTACCATTCAGTGTAAGCTCCGGGTCAGGATGCAAACCTTTCTATCGCCAAAAGTGCATACAAACAGTCTTGTATTTCGAAAATCGAAATCCATTGTCAGCTGCCCATCGTTGAATAGCATTCAACCAAAGTTGCAACTGGCATTCGATTGTTTGCATACGTGTCGATCTGTAACACATCTGAATGCCATCAACTTAAAGAGAACCGTCGACCACACGTCGCACATGATACCATATATAGCAACTAAATGTTGTTTCTGGATGAAAGCATCCCTGACAAACGTTTAAAATCTAACGAAAGGGCTCCTTTGGAACCGAAATCCACATTGGAAGGTTGCAATGAGGTTGTTGGACCCAAGGTACCAAACAAGTATTCGATTGATCACACTCTGCATGGTTTTACACATGCAGGTAGATAAAGCGATCGGACGCTAATTGGTAGGATCCGTAGGGAGACTTTGGATAACGTCGCTAATACCACAAAACTGTAAGGGCGCGATCTTAATCCTACTATTAGTAACAACTGAAACAAATGCTTTTTATAGCACTACGTTTGAATGTCAAATATTTGCACGTGAGATCTGACTTGAAGATGCCTTGTGTGATTTGATTATATATTTGGACTAGAACATATACATACATATTTAATAGGGAGCTTAAAATCCCCCTCAAAACATTTTATTCGCTAGAAAACTACCCCATGATGTACAAATCTATTTTAAGACGCCGTGATTGTCACGTGACGTGATTGAGAGGATGATACAATTTGAGCTTGTATTGTCGTTTTCGCTGTTCATTTAAGATAAAATTTCGAAGCCTAATTTACCCTCTGCCAACAGTTAGTGACCCACTTATACAAATTTTTCTTTGGAATGTTGCACCATTATAATAAATGTCCATTTCTATAGCGCCACAATTCCACAAAAAAAGTTTCTTGTAGCACTTTATATAACATATTTACTGGAAGAGTCTTTGGCTCTCAGGGATCACGGTGGCTAAGTGGGTAAGACGCTGGCTCGCTAGCCTGGAGGTCGGGTGTTCGATCCCTGCATTGTCCGAGAACGTTCATCCACATTTTCCGGCGTGCTTCCCCCTTGTCAGTGATGCAAGACGGGAGCCTGACAAGGGCAGCCGTCTAGTCGTTTAGATGGGGCGAAAAATCGAGGTCCCTTGTATACATTGGCGTGCACGTAAAAGATCCCTTGACAGATGTAATAGTAGGCCGTAGTGTATGGCGTATGCCCGTATTCATTAGTCCAGTTCGAAGCAGAATAGTAGGAAGTTAAACCCCATTTCATTTCATATCATTTCTTTGACTCTCAGCTACAACTTGATTTTTTAAATGAGTTTTTAAATGTTTCTTGAATGACGATAAAGATGTGCATTGACGTAGGTTAATAGGTAACGAGATCCATGTTTTATTAGTAGCTATACTTCAACCGAACAATAACCAAAAGACACCCTGCAACTTGGTATAGGGGGATCACGTGGCTAAGTGGGTAAGACGCTTGCTCGATAGCCTGGAGGTAGGGTGTTCGATCTCTGCATTGACCGAGAAAGTTCATCCCGTTTTTCCGGCGTGGTTTCCCCTTGTCAGTGATTCAAGATGCAGGACCTGACATGGACAGCTGTCTAGTCGTTCGGATGGGACGAAAAACCGAGGTCCCGTGTACACATTGGCGTGCACGTAAAAGATCCCTTGGCCGCTGCCCGGGTAAACTTTCCCTCATAGCACACTGTATGGCGTATGGCCGTCTTCATTAGCCCAGGTTAGGAGCAGAACAGTAGGACGTTAAACCCCATTTCATAATGGTATAATCAGTTGACTGAGAGATTTCGATCGCAGATCGTTTGATGTAAGGTGCGATTCTATAAGATCACAAAGATATCTAGGAGGGGTATCATTTACACATTTGAAAGTCAGGGTAAGGAATTTAAAATCCAATTGGGCAGAAACAGGGACCCAGTGGAAAGCGTTTGGATGGTGTTGTGATTGATTTAGGTGATTGGGTCACCATCCTGACAGACGCTGAAGTTGGCTTTGCGAATGATCTAAAAGGAGGCCGTTGCAGTAGTCTAGACGCGACAGAATTAAGGACCGGTCCAGGGATGATTTTTCTCAAATGAAACAAAACATCGTAGATATGGTAATTGACAATCAAGGCTACCTACACCAAATCTTTTCTATTCCTTAAACACTGATAATTTCGCCCAGAAAAAATTAATTTGATGAAAATTTTCAATATATTCACTCGCAGTATCTATTTTTAAACTATTGTAGTACGAATCGTCAACTCTGTATCTAAACAAAAATGATTCATCTAAAGCGGTGGACACACTAGCAGAATGTTTCGGCCGAATAAATCAGTGTCGAAAATCGCCTAGTGCGTCCACTGTCATTCGGCCGAATGATTATCTCAAATCAAACATGTTTTATATATATATTCGGCCGAATTTTGATTCGGTCGTATAATATTCGCCCAGTGTGTCTGCTTCGCCAAAGCATTTGCCCGAATGTAGAATTCATTACCCAATCACCACTCATCATCCACTCGTATCGAGAAGTCACGTGATTGAAGACATGGTCGCCGTCATGTTTAATCATGTGACCTGAAAGGTGACGCAATCGACTGGTGAATCGGGCGAAGCATTCGCCTAGTGAGTCCACCCATTCGACCGAACAAAATTCGGCGCCGATTAATTCGACCAAACGATTCGGCCGAATGATTCGGCTAATGTGTCCACCGCTTTAAAGAAGACCAAATATATTTAATCCGTGTTGTTGTCTCTGTGTTTGGAATTAAATGTTTAGCTTTCAGGATTAACGACATTGTTCTGGCTTGGTGTCAAGATTTGTAAAATTGGGTCAAAATTAGGTTAATTCCTCGTAATAGTTGGGTATTTACAATTATAGGGAGATGTAGTCCCCCTTGTGAAGATGACAGTGTGTGTCAGTATAGTTTTTGTCGATGCATCTCAAATGCTAGCCAGTATATATCTGGTTCCGGTTGTTCTAATGTGATAGGTATTGTAAACTTTATTTAATTTTAATCTATTATCTGTTGATTAGCTGGTGACTTCATGATAATGATAACGTTTATTAATAGAGAGGCCGAGAAGTGAGGTTTATCGTCCACTACGTAATTTCAGGACTAATATGGGGTTCAATTGTATTGGTTGATTCGCTTGAGCGTAGGAGTCTTTAGCAGCGGGGGGGGGGGGGCGAACAAAGCCCACGAGATTGAACAGGCGAACCTACACGTTGTCAAGTACAGTTGTGAGTCGAAACTACGCCGCTTGGCTCAATGACAGATCTTATGAGCTATAGCGCACGCCGGCCCCCTTCACCTCTTTGTCGTGAAATAATCGTATAATCGTAGGTTTGAATAGTGCAGTCTGCTATTTTAGGTTTAACAGAGTTTATATATATTTATGCTGGACTGTTCCCCAAGATCTTGTATCATGGGAACCTATACAGCCGGCAGAACATATTACCGCTTACATTCAAGTACAGAATTTAAAGGGTCATGTCACACATGTTGTATAACTTGTAATTTCATTTTACCAGAATGCGTGGGTGGCTGTTTAAATGGAGGTACATGTGATTATGGAGGTAAATGTAGATGCCTAAAGGAATACACAGGTTTCAACTGTGAAACATATACAGGTAAATTATGTATTTTGTCAAATCCAGTATCTAATTAGCTATATCAATATACAATAAGCCAGAACAGCAGAAATTATAGAAAACATGGTAACACATGGTTTATTACAGTGTAAAACAACAATCACAAACATGGTAACACATGGTTTATTACAGTGTAAAACAACAGTCACAAACATGGTAACACATGGTTTATTACAGTGTAAAACAACAATCACAAGCATGGTAACACATGGTTTATTACAGTGTAAAACAACAATCACAAACATGGTAACACATGGTTTATTACAGTGTAAAACAATAATAACGGACTTGTTATAGTAACACATTCAAATTATACAAATTGGTTTTAAACAACAATAACGGACTTGTTATAGTAACACATTCAAATTATACAAATTGGTTTTATACAGGGTGTCCATGTCTGAATAACGGACGGTGCGTTGATGACGAATGTCACTGTGTAGCAAATGAAACTGGAACGTTCAATGAAGACCTTTGTAGTAACTTCATCTTTCATTGTAAGTTATCTTATTCTATGTATCAGGTTATTTGTAAAATGTTTCAACATTTAGAATTACCACAATTGTTAAGGTACAACCAACCAATTTTTGATATATTAAATTAGATTCTGAATAACATTTGTGTAATGATATGTTGATGTATAGTAACATGAAATAAGAATAGACGTCTTCTACATTCTGATCGTATTAGCATTCTACAAACTGTTTATCACTACTCATCCATAATCTAACAGAATAACAATGAGCTTAAAACATACCCCTGTTGTACGCCACAGCGAACCTCAAAATATTTAACAATGTAGCATCGATTATTATCTTCACCTTCAGACAATTCCTGTGATCTACAGAACTAAACATTTTAGCCAAGTAATCAAGGAGTGCAATTCATCTGGTTTGGAGCAGTTCAAGCAAAGTCCATAATCAAATATACAAATAACCCCAGACTCTTGTAATTGGGCAGTTTCGGATATTAATTTTCTATTAAGTTATTAAATCGTCGTCTTGGATGATCTCAGACCCAGTGTTTATTTCAATTGCTTCATTCCCCACTAAAGAAAAGTCAAAGCGACAATGCGTTAAGACTCCTTTAAATTATATTCTGATATTTTCGATCGTGAAATCTATGTTGTTCTGTTTGATAGTTCAGATGTTGTTTAATGTTGTTTAATTTTATCAACAGATCCATGTTACCCACCAGTTCTGAATGGTGGATTGTGTTCTGGTGGCAATATTTTTTGTCTCTACGACGATGTAGGATATTTCCATGGTGACCAATGTGAGAAGTACAGTTTAAAAAGTAATTGTAATAATTGTAGTCGATATTAAAGAGGGATAACCCTGTAAATTGTCATGGACAGAGTTCAATGTCGTAAATAGTTGATAGTTGATATGGAATGTCTTTCACACGCATGCGGCGCAATCTACAGCATTCTCGGCAACTCCAGTGATGTCGTTCCGTTCTATTCCACTAACCTCTGGGTCCATCCACGGGGTTTTCTCGAATTGTCTATCCATGTTCCTAACATTCTACGAACCAATCAAAATCAGTTTACATACCAGTCTTGGCGTCATTGTTTACGTTCACCCACGGCCCCCTTTAACTAGTAAACTACGTTACAATAACCCTTTTTGTAAAATGGTGATGAGCAAATTAACCACACTAGACTGCACATGTGTAGTGTTTAAAATCGATATGGATGTATATTGTATATCGATCATTTGTAGTCAGTTCGCGTTCGATAAATTTAGAATGAATTTCAAAAGTAAAACTATTCGTTGAGACCCAAGCGCACTGGTGTAGTAATACCGGACTTCTTTGTTGTGTTTCCTTTGTGATCGTAAATGTAACTACAGGTTAGTTCGTTCCTACAACTTTATTATAAAAACGGTTTGCGTCAATGTTTCTCGTTCTCATTAACTTGGCGTTAATGTCCTTCCCAAATATGGAATAAACATCCCCATACCCCAAAAAAACCGGGAGGAGAACATTACCTTACAGCTGTTGATTGGTATTCAATCTTCATATATACTTTCACTTTCACTTTGAAGTGTTGATTTGTTTGCACAATTTGTCACGATACTGTGAGTAACAGACTATAGGTTGCTCTCAATTCGAGCGGCACAGCTCACTTCAATCCGATGAAAGCAGTCGCCGAATTTTTCCACAAAATGGGAATTATATCGAATTCCAACTGGCAACAAATCTTTAACATGCACCTCAGGTGTTCGTCCCATCCGAACGAATAGACAGCTGTCGTTGTCAGCCCCCCCCCCCCGTCTTACACCACTGACAAGAGGAAACCACGTCGGAAAATCCCATTGAACGTTTTCGACCAATGGAGGGATCAAACGCGCGACCTCCTCTAGTCTAGCGAGCCAGCGCTTAGAGCATGCTCATGGATGGATTAAGCGCTATATAAATGTACATTATTATTATTATTATTACTTAACCACCGTGGCTCCTACCACCGAAACAATTACACATGGTGTGTATTTTAACAGAAAACATAGCAGATTATATTTTTTCTTATTTTACTTAGGTATAGTACATTTAAATTCTGGGAGAGAAAATGCGTTCATCACCGACAAAATTAGAGCCATTTATAAACTAGATACATCAGCCGTTGCAAATATTATTGCTTGTATTTAGATGCTGTTAACAAATCAGTTAACACCCGTACTGTATTCTAATTAACACCTGTACTGTCTTCTAATTAACACCTGTACTCTCTTCTAATTAACACCCGTACTGTATTCTAATTAACACGAGTACTGTATTCTAATTAACACATTTACTGTATTCTAATTAACATATGTACTGTATTCTAATTAACACCTGTATCAAATTATATTATGTAGACTGTGGCAGTAGTTGTTTAGAGCCAGAAGTGTGTTTAGAGGAGGGTTGTATCTGTCCATACAACTTAACAGAGCGTCACTTCACCTATACAAATGACAATGGCAGATGTAAAGGACAATATTATCTGTAAGTGAAAATAGGTATTTATAGCATTATTAGGAGTTCCGGGGTATGAGTGTAATTTTAATGGTGCGCTAACCCTTACCGCTTGTAAGCGAAAACAATGATCAATGATCCGTACCTTTTGAGAAATTGGTCTTCATGACGTCAATGGTGCTCACAACGCAGATAAGCCCTGATTCGGAATAAATAAATTCAAATAGGATTTCCTTCGTTCGTTCCTGGGGTTTTATGTCAACTTCCACCAAGGGTGATATCGTAGACAAGTGTTTCCTAAGGAACAGAATAGGCTTGATGCAGCTTTTTGGGGTAAGACACAGTGTCTATGTAGGGAAGCGCCTAAGATGAATATCACCCAAAGGAGAATCTTTACCATGGTAGATAAATTTAGGTTTGACTGTCAGTTGGGCCCTCCTAGGGTCCGCCACCTGTCCGACCTAGGTTATGTTCAGGGGTGCAAGCAGTGGTCTCCGGGCTAAGTGTTGGCCTTATGAAAAGAAACATGCTACTTGTTTTATCAACCAACTAGGTTAATTAAATGAAATGACATGTTTTTTTTCTGCACCAAATGGACTAATGCTACTCGAGGTATCTAATCCAATCCAAACTTCAGAGCTTTTCTTATCTGTACATGGAATCTCAGTTTCTCGTAATATTTATAGAACTAATTTTAATAGACCCAATTTATAACTAAATTGTTTAATTGTTTAATATCTTAATATTTCAGCTGAACCCAAAATTAAAATTAAACGACCAAACATTCACTGTGTTGTCTTATTTTTTTTATTGATGTTGATTAAGGACTCTGTGGTCCCGCCAACATACCAGCCTGGATGGCTTGGGTAATCTGTACTGGGCGTTTGTTTAAAGGGGCAGGGATCCTGGGTAATCAGTATTGGTTGTATAAAAGGACTAGGTTATCAGTACTGGTTGTTTATTTAAAGAGGTGGGGAATCCCCAGAGCTTTTGTTTTTATCCTATCTGACATCTGATTTTCTGTTGCGTTGGTAATTTACTCTTATCGATATCTTATGAGCCATGGGGTATTTTATGGCCCGACCGCGGTGCTACAGCCTACTCCTCCACCTCGGTTTTCATAGAATCAGCAGATAAGGTTACGTTAATATAAGCTACAAAATTACATATAACAAAATAAAAATAACCGCATGCATTAATTATTTAATGTATGATAAATGTTTAGTCCATGTATTCTACTGTCCTATAACAATTCACTCAACTAGACAGAGAAAACATAAAAGATGGTGATTGTCAGTAATTATTAATGACAGTTTAAAATTGGCATTGGATATGTCATATCAGTCTAGATGTCGCTAACGGTGTGGCCTGGGTACAGGACTGCTAATAAACTGACTTGAACCGAATATAGGAAACACAAATCATTGCGGAACAACTAAAAGACGACAATCATACGCAGAGAAAGACGACCCGATCAGACTGGATAGACAATCCACGACGGTTAAGTCGGATCTGGCTGTATTCACCTGGGCATTCAGAAGTTGGTAGTTTGTTGACGAATCACCTATTGCAAAATTTTCACATACGATCTTAACATATTCACCGGTTAACTTATCATTCAGCTCCATCATTAAATCAAGACTCTTGCTTCGACTTAACCAGTAGAGTTTCTCAAGTCCAATCCAACTATCGTGGTCGCTATCAGAAAAACCATCTCGATATTCTGTCCAGGTTCGATTCATTGTTATCGTGGGGTTAAAATGCAACAGAATCATGGTACGTCCACCCCAATCCATCCTGCACATCACGGTAAAAGATTGTGGAGCACCAGGTGGTAAGACTTCATACAATTTAAAACTTCCATCTTGATACATTTCTCTGTAGCCTTCACTACAATCTGCAAGGTACAAATTAAATTGGGTTTCCAGAGTTAGTGCGATCAGGATTATAGGCGTTGGGATTATTCGAATTAAGTATGATATGGGACAGTTTTTGTCTTTCTGTTCTGAACCAACATGGTAGATGAAGACTGGCACACCACAAGCGGACTGGAACACCACATGTAGTCTGGCACACCAGACCAGGGGGTGGGTGGGGCATTTCCGTCAATTCTCACAAAGTATGGTGTCTGTCCGTCTTGGTTATCCCCGATTGTGGACTACACCAGAAACGTCCCTTTAGAATGCCCCACACCTAGATGTTCAAGACATACGAGTACAGGGCAGCATTGGTTGCTACATGGGTGGTTTACCTTGATCGCTGGAGCAGGCGGGTCATTATGTGTCATTCCCCCCCCCCCCGAAAAAATTAGGAACAAGAATCCATACTCCCTTGACTGTTGAAAATTTGTGGAAAGTAAGATGCCCACCTCAAGCACACCTAAGCACAATGGTAAATCCGACAGTTTTCGTGAATTATGAGATAAACACCGACTGTTTAGAATTTATTGCTCATTATGCGATCTTAGTCTGCAACGACTAAACCAGGACGATTTTTTGGGTTTTTTTGGGTTTTTTTTGCTGTTTAGTAGTTGATAGATGTGTAGAGAATTTCACGTGCGATGACTATTTATAGACTCTAGCGCTGATTAGCCAGAATTCACTTCGAGATAAGCCATCGAAGCGTGTACATTCGCTGTGTCGAGTTCAACTTTCTGTAGGGAACATTTTCGCTCCACGGGTAACCCTAACATTGAAACTGTTAGCTGGATTAAGCTAAAGTTGGGAATATTAGCTTCATCATGATCTGTCTGTGTGTGGGGGGGGGGGTTAACGCGTGCGCGTTTGGTCACAAGGTCTGTCATTGAGTCAAGCGATGTGGTTTCGAATCCCCGCTTTTACGTGGAAAGGAGTAGGATCGCCTGTCCAACATCGTGGATTTTCTCCGGACTCTCCGGTTTCCTCCCACCGCTAAAGGCCCCCACGCGCAAGCAAATTATTTGAATAAAATTGACCCAAAGTTAGTCCCGAAATGACCTTGTTTGTGGCGAGTGGGTGTTAAAGTAATACAAATTGATATTTACCAGTCATTAATCTTTCACAGTATGTTCCAACATATCCACCATAACACACACAGTCATTATTAACTAATGTACCATTATTCAAACATTTCTATATCGCAATAAATAATCATTATTAACTAATGTACCATTATTCATACATTTCTATATCGTAATAAATAATTATTATTAACCAATGTATTATTATTCATACATTTCTATATCGTAATAAATAATTATTATTAACCAATGTATTATTATTCATACATTTCTTCATCGTAATAAATAATTATTATTAACCAATGTACCATTATTCATACATTTCTATATCGTAATAAATAATTATTATTAACCAATGTATTATTATTTATACATTTCTGTATCGCAATAAATAATCATTATTAACTAATGTACCATTATTCATACATTTCTACAACGTAATAAATAATCATTATTAACTAATGTACCATTATTTATACATTTCTATATCATAATAAATAATCATTATTAACCAATGCACCATTATTTTCTATATCATAATATTATTAACTAATGTATTTATACATTCGTATATCGTAATAAATAATCATTATTAACTAATGTACCATTATTCCTACAGTCCTAAATGGCATTTTGCGAATAATTTGTTTCCATTGCTTAAACCACGCTAAAATGCACCCATTTGTTTTTAACATTCCATTAAGAAAATAAGTTAAAACATTGTTTTAACCATATTCCGTTTAATTTCAAACTGATTTAACCATATTCCGTTTAATTTCAAACTGATTTAACCATATTCCGTTTAATTTCAAACTGATATTCGTTTTAGAGATTCAACTTTCATCGTTGACTTCCACGTTGTGTATACAACTTCATCGTGTTATTGTTTGCAAAGGAGTCTATAGCGCTAAATGACGAGCTTCGGTTTTAACTGCTGTCAACATTTTCAGAAGTTACCTTCTATTGTGACAATATTTGGAACGTCCTTCTGAGAATACTAAATGATGTTTTCACCCCAGCCTCTAGGCCGAGGAGGCTGTTGGTATGATGTTCCCCTAGGAACTCAGAATGATGTCTAAACCCCGCTCGTTCTTATAAAGAGGATAGGTGCGTGAGTCATGGACTGACCCCCGGGAATCTGGCCAGACACTTCATTTATCTGACTGCAGATACTATTTTAACGAGAAAATAAAAGATACCAATTTTAAAGGCCATTTTAAATCATCATTTGAATTTTTTTTTAAAAGCATATATGGATTTACAACACCCACCGTTATGAATACCATGACACATTACAAAACAACTACCTTTACGGCGTGTTTCTTTTTGTAGTAAACCGAACTGGCTAAGGTTACTCCATTTCCACAATCATTGGCTAAAAGTCCGAAATTTAAAAAGCAAGTTCTGTCCTTTTTTATAAAGGAAACTGATAAACAGTTGATATCTAAGGAACACCTGGCCGTGCAATGTATTACACTTCTTGCTTCAATAGTTAAATAACTTTCAAGGCCAGTGAGAACCTTATCGCCACAGAAATCTGGACTGATGAAATCTTCATTGAAAGGGCCACAAATTATATTCTGAAAGTAGCAGTACAGGAATGGTAGGGTTTTTAACTATAGTTTTCTGTTCCGTATTTTACCCAAAGGATATAAGACAATCGTCGTTCCAGCTAGAATGATATTTTTAATAATACGTATTATATTAAACGATCAAGAAATACATCGATTAGAATTTAATACTGCACCTAATATAACATCGATTCACTTGGAAAACGATCAAAAATCAATCTTCGAAACATTTTACCGAAAGGATATTTTCTTGTTACAATCTATACAATTCAATAGATAACATATTTTATTATTTACACGAAAGTCTTTGAAATATTTGGGCAGTGGTGTTGGTGTTTATTAGCAATTTTCTGATATCGACCCATGTCATGTATTGACCGAAACGTCAGATACATTCAATATACTGAAATAAAACAACTTGCTAACCAAGGTTAAGGTTTGTGTGACAAAATGTTCCATATCTTTCATCGAATTGAACGATTTTTAGGTGCATAGAAAGTGACCCCAGCTGGTTTCTGATATACTTCTGTTAAGGCACGAAT